TTTAGTTGTTATAATTTATTATTTAGTTTATTATTATAGTTTATATATATATATATAAAAAATAATTCAATATAATATAATATACATATAATATAATATACACGCGCACACATCCTAACCCAAAAGAAATCCATTTTTCATTCGATGTGTACAGTACCTCGCAATTTGACAGACCATGATTTTGATGGAGCGATAAAGGAGTAGAAAGTCATTTTTCTTTATCAATCTCATCTTGAAAAAGTAGTCGAATTTTTCTCTTTTTTCGAATTTTTTCTTACACGTAAAAGTTATGTAAAAGCTCCCAAATACAACGGTGTATTTTTCTTAAAGCATTATGGTTTGAACATGTTCAAAGATTGTTTAATGATAAGACAGCTTTAGCGCATCGATGTTTATAAAAATCCGCTACTGGCTATAGGAACATATAAGTAGATCGCAGATCTTTATGCAAAGTGAAAACATCCTACCTCGATTGTAACAAATAGGAGTCAAATAAAAAATTATTTCCATTCTTAACATTCTTAATAGTTTAAAAACAATCCAACAGCATCGTTATATTCATCCCCTGCATGTACCGATACATATTCCATCCGCTCATATTTGTCGCAAATGCATAAAATCCGCAGTCTACGCTATAACTAATGGTGAAAAGTACAATGGATGATATATCTACTGTCTAGATACGTGCGAAGATGTTGTACGAATTTTTTTCAAATCCTTTCAAAACTTATGATCCACTAAAAAACGCATCGAACATAAAAGTGCAACGTTTACGAAAGTAGCGTTAACACAGCCATCGACCCGCAGCGTTTCCAATTAATCGAGCAGCTGGCCAACATTTTGTTTTCGAGTCTCGCGGAGGACAAGAAGCGACCAAAGCTCGATCGCTCGACATCTAATTCACTAAAGGTACACGTGTACGACACTCGAGCGGCTACCGTGTTCGGGCTAGGGCGGCTCGGCTTCGCTCGGCGGCAGATACCGCGGCCCAATAATTTGTCGGGCCCGGCTCCGGCGATTTTTTCCTCGGCTCGTTTGCGGGGCTGCTTGAAATTGTTCCGGGAACGCGATCTCGATCGATCCCGGCCGTTTTTTCGGCAGATCGTTCGGGGCCTAACGACGCCCGACGCCGACGAACATAACCGCCCTCGACGTCCACGGACGACGTCGGGCCCGCGGAATAATTCGGTCGGGCCGTGCTCGGGCGCTCGGGCTCGGGCTTCGTACGGGCGACTCGCGCGATTACGTATTATGCTAAACACGCGAAAATGGCTTTTTAAATGGAACATCTACATTTATGCGGCGCGGGGCCCGATCGAAATCCTCTCGGGCCCGGACCGGCCCTCGTGGACCGCGTAAGCACCGGCGAATTAAACGCAATTTTCGTCCATGCGAGGTATGCATAACAAATTGTCGAGGACCGACTCTTCAACGTCTTTATACGTTGATGCCGGACCCGGGATCGTTAGGCACGTAGCACGGGGGCAAGAGACGGCTGTTTCCGTCTCGTCGTCGATTACAATCCAATTATTATTCCTGCATAATGCCACCCCTCGACCCCCACCTTGATTGTTCGCCGGCATCGTGTACTCACCTGCCTATGAATCCGGGAAGAGGGAGGTGAAGCAGCCTGATGGGTCGCGTTCGATGGATAATGAGACTGTGGATAGAGTGGCCGAGGATAAGCCCCTTGGGGATAGGGCGTCCGCGAAATTGAAAATTAAACGTTTGCCCCGGCTATCCGGAATCTCGATTCTCTCTGCTCCGTTTATTTACCATCTGGATACTCGAATCGCCATAAACCCAGCCAGTCCTAACAATTACGTTCGAAGTGGAATTTTATCTTGGAGATCGATTTTCGTTATCTGCGCGTTCTACGGTAATTTCTCCCAGAAATGTTCGGAGATCGCGGAATTGGTACCGCGGCAGATCTCTGAGAATACTAAGTCGTGATTTTTCGGGTCTCGCGCGGCTCGTTTTCATAGAAACTCGGGGCAGTCGGTGAAGAAAGGGCTGCGGCCAGCATACCGGTGTACATTAACACTTTACCGATCGACAGTCGATTAATCGACTTTTTGTTCCCGACCGGTAGCCGATTAATCGACTTTTATTCCACAGAGCCTACCGATCGGTAGCCGATTAATCGACCTTTTTATTTTCCGTTAGATTCGATTAGATTAGACTGGCAAGTAGCGAGCAGCAAGCATTTCTTATTTTGTATTCCGATACTCGTTGCTTTGCTTAACCAAACTTTTTTCCAAATACGGTTGAAATTATCTCTTTTAGAATATGTACGCATGTCATTTGTTTTCAATAATTGTGATATATTCGGTCAGGTCTCTCACGTTAGCTACCGAAAATCGGCACGAACTTTCCGGACAATCCAATAGAACGCACGAGCGACAAATGTTTACTCTGAAAATAAAGCTGCGTTCGAAAGCGACGGGTCTTGTGCCGTAATAATACAGTAGGAACGAAATCTTCTTGAATTTTCACTCGGAACTCGAAATGCATGGGTTGATTAAAGAAGGTGAAGGTAGCATATATCTCCGCCCCAAGATCACCGGAATTGTCGCGCTCCGTGTATGATCAAGCAGATTCACGGGGTAGAACGTCCGCGAAATTGAAAATTGAACGTTCCGCGGCTACCGCGGGGGAGCCTCGGTACAGATGCTATAACGAACGATGCTTTTTTTCTCTGTTTCATGCGCTGGCCGGGCATCATCTCTTCGCAGGATCCGACGTCCGTGAGTATGGGTTATTAAGTATCACGAAATGTTGCAAAGTATCGGCTGCGAGGATCGAAGAGGAGGGAAAGAGAGAAACAAGGAGAGAAAGACGGAGACTTAGCGCGAGCGAACGGGTTTCTTTCCAGTCGCGGACTCGATTCTCGCCGCCGAAAAAAGTCTCGCGAGTATCGCGTTTCTTGTTTGCGACCGCCGCAGCCTTGTCGCTCGATTTCGACGCCTTGAAAGTGGAACGACCGAAATTCTCCGCGAATATTTCCGCCGGTCAATTAACCCTTTGTTGTGATGACCAGACCGCGGATCTTTATGGGAAATGAACATTTTCTCCATCCGGCACTAGTAAAAAGATCCATTTTGGAATTTCATTCTTTCTTTAACCCCTTTGCACTCGAAGCTATTTTAACAGTAAATCCGAATTAACTTTTCCGACTTGTAGTATTTCCATTTTATACGACAAAGTGCATTTCACGCGTGTGAAATTGGGTCTTGCGACTTATACGACGGTTAGACTTTCAAAAATCTTTTTATATCGAAGCTTCGATAATATAAATATTATCTAACAATTTTAGCGGTGCCTCGGAGTCACCACTCGAGTGCAAAAGGTTAATATATTTAATGTAACGAAAGTAATGTATATTGGTACTTTCAAATTCTTTCAATGTTCTTTTGTCGTGTCGAATTGCAACTACTCATTTTTATCGTAAATGCATAAAATTCGCAGTCTGGTAATAATTTTGAGATCGTAAACAACTGTTCATATTTCTGTTGAATCTGGTGGAATTATCGTCGTTCGATTTAATTGTATTTCATATTATTAAAATTTAATCGTTGTGTATATTATAATTTGATCCGTTACCTTCTATGGCCATTCTATCAACGACTAACGCGTGTTGCTTCGTAAAGGTAAAAAAACTGCATCCATTTGGACCTTCCTACCTGAAAAGAAAATTGAATCATTTTCTATAGAAGAGTCTTCATAATTTCAGCAACATTGAAATAAAAAAAAAAGTGAAACCGGTCATTTTGTCTGACTCGGAAGGTACGGTATTAAAATACAAATTCGTAGCATCAAGAATCAAGTTTTGCATTCCGCTAGTACTCGAATTATTCGCGGCGCAGAGAAGCAGTCGTCCGGTATAAAAAGAATCCCTTAATTCCGAGGCTGATGCGTTTCGAAATAAAAAAAAAAGGGGCTCGATGATTTCGATGGTCGTCAAAGGGGTTAATTCGCCACCCGGAGCCGCTCCTCGAGCGGATTTTTAATCTTGTGTTTTCTGTTTCATATTCCTCGTGCGCCGAACCATGCGTTACCCATGCATCATCGCCGCTCCGCCATGGAACCGCACCGAATTCAGGGCGTAAGTAGCATTTAGATAGCAGCGTCGATGTAATAGCACGTTATCGTTGCGCCTCGAACGAGGTCGCGTACAAAACGCGCCGTTAAACATCGCTTTCCCTCGGCTCGGTGCCGGCCGGCCAGGAATGCAAACAGTGTACAGGTATATACCTGCGTCTCGGACGAGTCTGACAAGCGGACGATTACTTTGTTGCAATCGAGCGAGAGGAAAGGCTGTTGGATGCGATCGGCACAGGGGGCCGGGAACACGGGGGCCGCGACCGTTTACACGCACGAATCGATAATTTTCGAAATGCTGGCCCCGATGGCATCGCGTGAACACGGCTACTTATTGAATCCTCTGGCCGCGCGTAACCAGCCGCGGCGCTGGAAAGCGGCGCGGAACCGCCGACTAATTACTTGGTAATGATAATCCTTCGGGCGAGGGAGCGACGGTCTTTCCGTGGAATTTATCGCGAGGAGTCTTCCTCCCCCGGCGATACGAGTCGCGCGGAAAACGAGCACGCGAGACAGATCGCGTGTGCAACAGACATCCTTGATGCCACGGCGAAAACGCTGGTTAAATTGTTTAAAAATATCCTACGTCTGCTCGAGCTCCACGACAGCGTCCCTTAGAAGCTGAGAATGTTCGATCTAGATCCTGGCGGAAGCTGGCCGTTGCTTCGAAAGTTTGCAATTCGAAAATTTTGGATCAAGGGAGTGAACCGCGCGAAGTTTTTAGATAGAAAATATTCGAGGATTTCAAACTTTACAGGTCAATTACTGTGTGCTTCGACCGTTTGCGTACCAGATGGTTCTGAAAAAACAGGATCGAAAAGCGCCGAAGAGCGCGATAGCGCTCCTTCGATTATGCGCCGAAAAAGCCGTAAAACATAAAATAAAACGTTACGAATGAAAATATATATACTATTAATTTAGAATAGGTAACAGCAAAATGCAAATTGGATTACCGACAGCGATGCGAAGCGCGACGTATACACGCGTCCGAAAGACCGAGCACGTTTCGACAAATTTCGGGTGGGCCGTAAGTCGACTGTTTCGGCCAAATGCCCTGGCTTTTCTCGACGCAAAATCTGAAGAGCGCAAAAGAGGCTCGCGATTCCTGAGATTATTTGAAGTAACTTTTTCCTTGGCGAAATTGCGATCTACGGCTTCGTTTACCAGTTATTAACGAAAAACGCTGACCAATGAGAGGCGAGATCAACCGATGCGAAACGGCCGAGGTGATTAGCTCGGCCGTCTCGTGCTAGACGAGCTCGCCTCTCATTGGTCGATGTTTTTCGTTAATAATCCGTAAACAAAGCTGCGGATTGCATTTTTGCTAAGGAAAAAGTTACTTCAAATTACCTTGGAGGATCATCAAATCCATTAGGAACTAATAATAAATACTATTTAACAAGATTTTATCCATATTGTTTTATTAAAGATATTTTTGGACATATATTAATTATTAATATTTTTATCATTATCGTCGTAAAATACCAATATATACTTTCAGACCCAGATAATCTTATTTTAGCCAACCCAATAATTACACCGGAACATATTAAACCAGAATGATACTTTTTATTTGCTCGCACTGTTCTTCGAGTTATTCCAAATAAATTTGGCGGAGTCGTTGCTTCATTTATATCTATTCTAATCCTATTATTTATACCCATATTATTCGATACCCATATCGAATCTTGACTCGATCCGATGTTACAACAATATTACCAGAGCCCAAATAAAGATTGTACGAAGCCGAAGACTCAGATTTCGAAGGAGTCCATGCTTCGAAACGGTATTAAGATATTATTGTTTGAAGAAAATTGTATTCAAGCCGCCTAACGAGCAAAGCCCCCTCGTCCGCTCTTCAACTTTTCCACATTAAGTCGTCGGTTTTTCGCTCGCATCGCGCCAGTTACACGACACGCTGTACGCGCATCATGCATCATACACGGCAGAGAAAACACGCGAATCGTTATCCCGTTCGTTTCCCACAGCTATTCTCGCCGGTATCCCGATGCGTCACGATAAATCGGACGAGTTCCTTTTTCGTGCGCTTCCGATCCGCTCGCTCGTTCGCCTTGTGTCGTACAGGATGAGGGATCGAGCCGAGCGAAAGCCGAGCGAGTCGCGCGTGTCTTCCCTCTTGCACGGTTCACGCGGCCGCGCAATCGCGAGATCGAGGCCCGAGGTTAGGTCTCAATTAACCGGTAGATCTCTATCGAGCTGGTGCTTCCTTCCTCTCGCGATTATCGACCGATTGTCAAGCGTCCACGCCTCCCAAATTACGAACACCGTCGCCGAGATCGTCCGGCGATTCTTCCTCGGATCGATGACGTGACGATGGATCTCGGTTCGCTCCTTTGATCATCGTCGATACCGGTTTTGGTAGCCAGCGAAGCCTGTAGGACGCGGATCCTTTTCCGATCTACGATAATGAACGCGCGGCGATGATCTAGGGAAGTGATACGAGGCTGAAAGATATCGATCCGGTAGGATCTACGGCGTAGATCGGTCGGAAGATGTACGAGATTGCAGCGCACCTTTGAGTCTTCTTACGAAGCTACCGTATTCACGGGGTTTCGTTTTGTTAGACATGTTATTACGAGTTGTAAACAATTGAAAATCTCGGAAACCGTAATTTTATCCCGATCTTTGACACTCTTGAAGAACAACTGTCGGTAATATGCAATCTTTTTAAATATTTTAACGCTTGTTACTTGACTCTGCGTGAACCGATTTCGATGAAATTTTCAACGTCCATATAAATAACCAAGATCGCATAAAACGCATTTATGAAATTTTCGTTGTAGACTCGGAAAAAAAGTTATAAATCTGGAGTTTTTTAATATTTTTTTTTATCATTCCAAGTAATAGCAAAATTTTAAAGAAGTATTTTGGTCATTGCACGGTAAATTAGCCTTTCCAACGTTAAGCAAAAGTTCGAGTCATTTAGTCCGGTGTTAAAACAGCCGTAGATCGCGGTTGAATTTACGATCGAATTCGGGGCTGAAATAATCGAACGCTTCTAAGCTTCCAACGAAGATGAATTTAAGCGCAGCTGAATCGTTGAAATCGCAAGGAGGTGTACATAAAGTACCGGATGTCCTCGGTGACGAAGCAAGAAGAAAAAGAGCCGGTGGGCGAGAAGAGGGGTTACAGAAATTCCGCGATCGGTATCGGGGCGCGTTTCACGCGTCGGAGAGGGAAACTCTGCTCGCGGCTCGGCGAGCGCACAAAAGCGTGGGCCCCGGGGCCCTCTCGGAGCGAGGCCACGAATACCAAATGACGGGACGGATATCTGACGTCTCTATAGCAGTAAAACGGCGGGCATGCGTGGCCGTCGGCCGTCGGCCGCGGCGGGGGTCCGGGAGACGTCGTCGGAGACATCGGGCACCACGGGCGGCCATTGTCTCAACGGAGTCCCAAGGGCGAGACAGGAAGGGCCCAACCCCGGCTGACACGCACGAGGGGGTCGCAGCGCCCCGTCGGGGCCCCCCGAACCAAATTAATAACCGAATCTCGAGTTATTCCTATTTCGGGGCGAGGAGTTATCGGTCCGGAGGCCACCTGAGCCTCTCGGACTCCGGGCCCCGGGACCGAGATCCCGAGACCCCGGCCGTCACACCCACGCGGAGCCCCGAAAACGAATGTTT